GGTGACGTGGAAATAAAAGTTCTAGCTGTCGCGGATGACGTGGCTGTCTTTTGTAGCGATAAGGAAAGTGTAACAAATGCCTTAGAGTTGTGTAATAATGTTTGTGACTCAGTAGGTGCTGTAGTAAATAGAAACAAATGTTCTGGTGTATGGCATGGTGAATGGGCCACAACGCCGTCAATGTTCGAAGGAATACAATGGAGAACCGCGCCCGGTAAATACCTTGGTGCACCGCTCGAGCACATGCAAAACAGTAATGAATACTGGACACAGGTTGCAGGCGAATTAAGGGAACGAGCAGAAAAGTGGTGCAATCGCGATATGTCAATCTTTACAAGAGCCACGGTCTGTAATGTGTTTTTGGTCGCGAAGCTGTGGTATGTGCTTCAAGTAATACATTGCGCTCGAACCAGTATTTAAAGAATGCACAGGGTCTTCGCAGTGTTCATCTGGAAAAGTGTGGCGGAACCAATGCGTCGAGACAATCTTTTTCGACGAGTCTCACAAGGTGGACTAGGGCTGGCGCACCTTTTTATTCGACAAATTGTCTCGCGTTTCCTTTATTTGAGGGACCAGAAAACCCCATTTCTTCAGGTCATGTTACAGACAAGACTGGCGGCGCGTTTTCCAACCTTCATTGTTTCTTCGCAAATTGGTCCCCCTGCAAAAATGGCTGGCTTTGTTAAGGAAGTTGTAAGCGCTTTTGAATTTTTGACGGTGCGGTACTCGCTTGAGTATCTGTCTACAGTAACCCGCAAAAAACTGTCGCGTGATTTGATTGAAAGTCTTTTTCCTGCACCGATATATCGGACAGTGTATCCGGATGGGCGAGGTCAGGATGTCCTAGTCCGCGTTAAAAAGATGGCCATACCCCCTGCGGCTAAATCTTTCTTTTTTCGACTACACAGCGCCACATTACCTGTTAAAGTGTGGATGGCAGAAAGGGGTATAACAGTGCCACGGGGTGTTAATTGCCTGCTATGCAAACAACCAGAAACAATTGAGCATGTGTTCATTGATTGTTGGGATGCGGTCTTTATGTGGGATGTGCTTCAACGCACTTTGAAAAAAGAATTGTGTATAACTGCACAGTCCATTCGTTTTTTGCCTGTAGACGCGAATGACGGCGTTCCCTATGATATGATAATGGTTTTGGCCCTGTTTGGTCTTTGGAAATCACGAATGATGGTACGCCATGCTGAGCCCAACCCGAAAACTGCACCCATGTGTTTCACGGATCTCGTGAACCAAGTGAAGAGTGTATACGATTTGAATGGGAATGATGCGCCCGAATGGGCACCTGTATTAGACAAACTGGCTCACATGAAAGAATTTTAATCAACGGCTGCCCAAAAGACCTGGGTAGCCTGTTTTTATGTACGAAATAAAGAAAAAAAAATAAAACGCAGTCGTGGCCGAGTGGTTGAGGCGATGGACCAGAAATCCCTTAAGGTCTCCCCGCACAGGTTCGAATCCTGTCGGCTGCGCAAACATTTTTTTTTTTTTAAGAAGACAGATGGGATGGCAATCAATGTGAGCACGGACGCCAGACGGACAAGGCTAGACACTAAGGCGCTTCAGCCCTAAAAAAGTTTCAACATTTGCTTTCACCATTCCGAAATTTAGTGCAAGCAAAGCCTTTTGTCTTTCACACCATACGTGTTCAGGAGCAGCTGAGTTGCATGATTGCAATATTTTCAGCCGTCACATTCATTGACAACTTCGGTCAGACGAAAAACTGGGTCATACAAACAAATTCCAAGAATGAATTAGAACTCCAAAAGCTAGAAACCATGAGGTCTTTCTTGGGACCACCTTTATAGAAAGTTCAAACATGACTTCATAAAGAGAGCAGCGGACACTCAAAAAAGAAGTCTGCAATTATAAAGATTAAATTTTGTACTTTACCTGTTGAATTTCCGGGCATTGCGACATTACATGAAACGTCGAAGCAGATCGCCTAGATGACAAAGCCCGGCATTCTCACGACAATATAGATCGGTCCATCTTTACATCTACGGGTGCCAAGTTCCTACTACGGCACTTCTGAGAGGAACACTCCCAACAGCAATGGTTCACCGAAAAATTTCTCAACCCTCTCCTTCCCCATAATGACCTGGATCTTAAGTTAACACCTTGTACCAAAACTAAACAAACAAAAAATAAATACGATGCTCCTTTATACTGACTACGACTTGCAGTAGCTTCCACAGGCAGCTTCTTACACTGAGCTAGGCAACGTGAGTCTCCAACACGTAAGTGCGCGCGGTGATTTCTATAAAGATGTGAATCACTTTCTCTTAGACTCCCAACGCTTTTCCACAGAAATGCAAGGATGAAGATTCGTCTTCGACTGTTTGACAAACGTCCTCTATCTCTAGCAAAAAGACTGGGCCCTTGGCCAGACTGCAAAACTTTCAAAAGGACACTTAGCATTATTTACAACTTTTTAACAGACCCACGGGCTCTTATACAACTATTAGGCGCTAAGACTTTTACCCGCCCATGATTGTTCATGCTCGTGAACACCAGGTAGTGAACGCAACAATGTGCAGTGTGTGTAAGAAGTATTGTGTTTCTTTTCAGCAGGTATTCAACAAAGAACTCTGCAATTAGGAAGAGTAATTTTTGTATTTTACCGCGTGTGTGTTGATGCTGCCATGCATACCCTTTAGCAAGTACTTTGTGATAGTGTACAATTTCCCGTTTTGTGTTGAAGCTGCCATGACTGTGTCACTTTTGAGGCCCTCCCCTTTCTCGTTTCTTCTGTTTCGCAGCTTGCGCTCCTCTTGTACCATCACAATTCACCTTTTTTTAACTTTCGATTTATGGAGCAGCCGGTATCGTTTTAAAGCTGCCAATCTCTTCACATTCATAATTTTGTTTTCTGTATGCGTATTCGGAAACTGGTTAACAATTTTCTCGGCATCACTTTGACTGCTTATCTTTGACACCTCCAAGGTTTCGTCCTGGCGTGCAAAGATTTTTCTACCGTTAGCCCAGACAAACTTTTATTCGGTTACTCACTCCCTTGCAATGATCACACCGAATAACACCTTCCCTAAGCTATTCAAGCGCTCATTATTTATTTAGACTCGGGTACTTGCGCTAAAGTAGTCGAAAGCCGTTGCGGTTAATTTATACTGAATTGACTTCGCCAGATTTCGATTTTTCTTCACTCGTCTAACGAACCGAACAGTTGTGTTGTTGTTTCCTTTGCCTTCTTTAAACACCGAAAGCGGCCCAGGTAGCACAGAGTTCTGGGCCAAAATTTGGCTTTTGTCTGGGTGCTTAGGGCATTGAAATGCCCGAAGAAGCCAAACTACAGCCAAACTACAGCCAAACCTGACCTCCCTTGGCGACAATCTGGATATTTTGGCCCTAACTCGCTAAACAAGTGCCAAACTTAGGCTTCAGTGTGTGGTAGTTCGGCGGCTGTGATCTGGCATCTTTGAGCCTGAATCGCCTAACAAATGCCAGAGTCAGGCTTACTGCCCGGTAGTTCGGCTTATATTTGGCATTTTGGGGCCAAAATCGGCAAACAAATGCCAAAGTTAGGCTTCACTTTTTGATAGTTCGGCTGACATCTGGCATCTTTGGGCCAAAGTCGCCAAACAAGTGCCAAAGTTAGGCTTCGCTTCCCGATAGTTCAGCTGTCATCTGGCAGCTACGGGCCAAAGTCGCCAAACAAGTGCCAGAACTAGGCTTACTGCCTTGGAGTACTGCTGATGAGGTATTTGATGAACGCGGGCGGTCATCGTCTTAATTAAATAGAAATCAAGTTTTATTCGGCTGGCCACTTTCTTTTTATTTTGGGTGTCTTTTAATTTCTCCCGTCCAAAGGTGGACTGAATGTTTTGCCGCGGCAGGACCAGGCTTTGCAAACGCAAATAATGCCGGATGTTGTACTCGCGCGTAGGTACACAGGCCTATATCGGGACGCGCCGTGAGACTGGTTGGACATTAAGGCGCGTTCACACCGGCGATGCTATCTAGTCGCGCGATAACTTTCATCGCACAAGCAACCATCGCGGGCAAAAAGCGACGCGATTTGAGCAGTCACTTGCTTATGCGACTTTCTGCGATGCGATCTAGTCGCGGAGAGGCTGAGCCAATCAACGGCGTTCGGAGCGAGAGTTTTCGAGAAGCAACTCGCAAACGAAGGCGTTAGACTCGCTCATCGCGCAAGCCAGTGTGACCATCTATTTTTTTTTTTTTTTTTGCGGTGCGATTTGGTTGCATCGCGCGACTGCTTACATCGCCGGTGTGAATGCGCCTTTACAGAAAGTGCTGCCATCGAGCTAGCGCTGCGCGAGAGTGATGTGCGCACGTCTCCTCAACAGATATCATTATTAGGCGGCGCATTGCAAAAGCGAGCGTGGTTCTGTGCGTGTCTTGCATTGTGATTGAGCACTGTCACATGCTAGCGATAACAAAAAGCGGAAACGACCGGGGCTCCGTGGCGCCGCTCCCGCATCACACTTGGAAGCGAAGACTTTTTAAACGATGTTTTGAAAATTTTAAGAGCAATTACCCAGGCACACATTTCACTCGCAATCTTTCAGATGTCAATGTCAGCGTCCCTGATAGGTTCGTCAAGAACCAATTCTAGTAACTATGTATTGGCGATCTCCATCGGAAGGTACCCCTTTGATTTTAAGATTGTTGGATCTCTTCTATATTTTCATTTCCTCGGTTCTTGTTCGTAACATAGAATTACCAGTGGCTAGCTCTCGATTCCGAGTTGATAACTGCTGATCGAATCTCCCTGCGCAATTCTTTTACCTCATTATTAAGTTCTCTAACATCGTCGTAAGCATCGCTACTGAATACAACTTTCTTCCACGTCCCGAGTATCGGCCCTGATCTCACGACGCAGTCATCGAGCGCTTTATCGAGTTATTTGCTCTCTTTCCTCGTGCTCGCAATTCAATATTTCACAACAATAGCACAACGCACTAGCGCCGAGTTTGGCAGCAGATCACTCGAAGGTGTAAAACATGGACAAATATTGTAAGTGCTTCTTATTTTACCTGAGGATGAACTTGGAGGAATAATTTGGCTTGGCGCCTTCGGGGTGCATCTCTGCCAACTCTAGAACCTCACACGATGAATAATACCTTTAGACACTCCAAGTACACGTTCAAACGCCTGCTCGCACACACGCGCGCTCGCGCACATATACACACGCGTGAATTAAACAGATCTTTAAAAAAATCTTAGATTTTTTGTGTCAGTGAATGAAATCGGTGTTTATTGTTGTAGATGGGAAAAGGCTGTGAGTGAGTGAACGGGAAATTCGTCTTTATTGAGCAGATGTTGTCGTTTCGGGGAACTAAAGGCAGGCCCGCGGTTCTCGCAGGGTGTTCGAGCTGCTGGTGTACTACTGCTCCACCTTCATGGAGATGATCCCGCTGTCCTTCATGCTGGGCTTCTACGTTACCTTCACGGCCACCCGCTGGTGGAACCAGTACATGGCCATCCCCTGGCCGGACAGGTGAGGCCGCGACGCGTACTCCAGCCAACGCTTCCTGGATGCCGGCAAGGCAGCAGTGCTGCTTTTTTGCTTCATCTGCAGTAGGCCAGCGCGAGGCTCAGGTTAGACACAGAGTGCCGCGTCATCGTTCTGCTGGGACTCGTGTTCGGTCAGTGAGGACCTCGCCGAAAGCTGACGCGACGCTCTTATACAATGTGTCTCCTGCGCTGGCCTCCGGCCGGTGATGTCAAGCACAACGGCCTTGTTTTCTAAGAGGCGATTGTTGATTTTAAAGTCAGGGGATCCCGGTAAAAGTAGTGCCATTGCCTTCCCTGCCTGCTAGACAGACATAAACATAAACTAACGCACAGTCGACCAAAACCTCGCAACGAGATTTGCTGATCGGTCTTTGTTGCCACGGCAATCGCTATTCCGGTCTTTTCCAATCTTGGAAGCTTCGAGAGGGTCGTTCGGAACCAGTCGCACCAAGATCGCCATGAAGCGTCATCGTGCAGAAGGCCTTCCTCGCCAAAATAAGCGACTTTGGCATTGTGTATGCAATGTCAGCTTATCAGTCATGCTTATCTCCACAGATTTCTTACAATTATAATTTTGTTGTCCTTGGGTACTCCAGTAGACGGCATCGGTGCGTGCGGCATCGATGCCGCCTAGCACCGATGCCGCATATGGTAGCAGTGCGCAGATGTGAGTTCATTCCGCCGGTGTGTGGATAACGAAATTTCGGTATAGAAGAAATGTCTTTATAAAGCAACCTGTCACCTGGAATTGGGATCGGCTCACCAAGAGTGGAGAGATCAAAGAAAAACTGCTCATTCGGTAGGCTAAAATGGCGACCATGGGGCGGGGTGTATGGCGCTACTTTCGCTAGTATCCAGTGACTTTAGTTGATTTTACAGAGGGTGGCAGGCAAAGAGTGCGGTAGAAGATCCGCCTCCAGCGCGCGCGCTCCTTGCCTTCCTCCGTGCTTTTGCTGCGCGTCCGACGGGGTGTTTTCAAAGGCAAAAAGCTCGCCCCGAATCATATACTGAACACTTAACCCGTCACTAACTACAGCTGACTTAGATCATTTCATTTGGCATAAAAAAAAACAAAAAAAAAACATCGTTAAAAAAGAAAGAAAACACAGCTCTTTTGTTGCGTTCAAGCTGGAGTCCGAATCGCAACCACGAAGCGGATCCGCTCACCCTCAGGATAAAATGCGCGTGAAACTCCATTGATACTTTAAGCAACCACGTTCGCAACCACTTTTGCGACTGCGGTTCAACCGCCACTGTGAATGAGGCATTCGATGTTTGGCGTTGTCAAGGTTTGCGTAGTTTCCACAGCGCTGCAGCCCAACAACTCTGCGTGAGTGCGATGGAGGCGCGCCCAACGAAATCAGGAGCTCGCGCATGTTTTTTGACATTATCGGAGCACTGCGGCAATTGAAACGCCATTCCCCCGTTGCCCGAAAATATCGTTCCGTGCGAGAATATCTGTCCCGCGGCACGAGATTTCGACATTGGCATGCTTGTAGGTGGTGTCGGCTACGTGCCAGCGCTTATCTTGCGCATCTTTAACTTGTACCCCTTCGCACAAGGTGCTTCGAAACACTTTCGGGCGTAAAGACAAGAGCTCATTAATAAGCCCGTGAACGGAGTTCAATGAAACTTTTAACATATATGACTTTAGGTGGCGCGTTTATCGTACAAAATTGTCATGAATGCAATTTCTGTTTAAAAAAAAGTAAGGTCCAAAAAGTTTTGCTATGCCTATGCACAGGGAGGGAAACGGAATCAAACACTCTCGCTTGATGCCGTTGCTCAGAGATGGCTCCACACGCGCTCAGATCTGCATTCGTGTGTTCATGTCAGAAGAAGCTTTCATGTTTTTTGTTTCATGCTGCGCCATATGTGAGTAGCAGCGTCGACCATTCGCTTTGTTATCGTTTTCCTCTAGGCGCGAAGGGATAACGGGGTTTTCTTTTCGGCTCAAATATTATTACGGAAACCTACAGACACGATGAGTGAGTGCCACAAATGCACCACGCGGAGACACCTTCTTGAAATGTTTCATAACACTCCTCCGTTCATTGGTCTATTTATACGAATGTTTTACGACCGAATTGCGCTGAAAAACACTCCGTAATATGCGCCGAGAGAGTGAGGAAAATGAGGAGACGACAGAGCGCCCAGCCTCCTTTGTCTCCACTGTACTTATCAAATGCGTTCGAATGCGAAAGCTAAACTTTGGACGCCGGTGTTCCGCGTTCTAAAGCGTTTGGCGGGTGCAGTGGCATTGCCTCCTCCATACCAGGGTGTAAGATAGACCGGTGGGGAAACGAGAGCCAAATGAGCGACCGAATTGTGTCCCCCTCGGGTTTCTCTTTTTCTGTGGCGCCATCTATGTGGAGCACCGCGAACTCTCACTCCGGGTAGGCGACCAGTGGCGACCGGCTAAACTGACGGAGATGGTTTCTCGTGGATTTTCAATGGAGGACTGTCGTGCTTTTGGTTTATTTTGCGCACTCTCCCATAGAGTTCCACGCAAATCCGATTCCGACTTTTTTTCCTCTCGCCGCAGCGCCATCTGTCGCAACTCGGGGGTACTCGCAAGCAGACGAGCACACAATCCGGTCACGGCGCTGCGGTAGGCTTCTGTGGGCCGTTTCCCCACCTGTCTATCTTACACCCTGCTCCATACTCACAAAGCCTGGCAGTTCGACGATGGAGCCATAGAGTGCCCGGTCGCAGAATTGGAGCGCGAGGATCTGGTACGAGAGATCATCAAATAGCCATTTCTCGGGAAACCTGGACGTCAGCGCACAGCATTTGCAGCGGCGAGGACCCGAAACACACTTGTTCGTTCGGGAGAAGTGTGTTTCGGCGTCTCGCTGCGGCGGGGCGCCAGTCACGTGGCTCTCCTCTCATCCGTTGTCTGCCACTCCACCTTTTCCATTTCGGCGGTCGTTTCTCCTGGCGATCTGCCAGGCTTTGTCAGTATATAGGAGGCTATGGCAGTGGGGGCAAAGGCTGCCTTTGTCCCCACTGCACTCGTCGAACACGTTTGAATGCGAATGCCGAACGCCGGTGTTTCGCGTGCTAACGCGTTCGATGAGGGCAGTGGAAACGAAGGCAGGTAGATTCAGGTCTGCCCACTAACCGTTCAAATCAGTGGGCGCGTTAAGTTAGTGAGCTCCAGACTCCGGACATTTGCGCTCGAGCGCGCGGGTTCGGAGCGTAGCTTAACGGCGCACTATGGTACCGAGGCGCCATCTGACGCCTATTTTTTTAACGTTTCCGGTTCCGGCTTTCCGGCGCGCGCTTAAACATGGCTCCCGTCTCGTCGCACCGTCTGAGAAGTGCTTGTTCGAAGACGACTTCGATGAAATAACTGCGCAAAGACGGCAGCAACAGCAAGAGCTTGTATTTATGCTGCACGCTGTTGGTGTGGCGATTAAAGGTACGCCGAACGCCTTCTAAATTTTCCAAAGCCTTAAAGGTGTACTCCGCCGATTTTTGAGCTACCTCAACTAACTATATTTTCTGACTCCCAGGCCTTTACCCTTTCTGGAATGCTATTTAATATCGTGAAATTCATAATAGTTATTGCGAAATCGGCAAATGAAAATGATGCAAAAACAGACATTCAAATATACCCGCCCTTTTCAGGGCCGTGACGTCAGTGGAAGTTCAGCTTGCCAGTCGGGCGAGTAGTCTAAAAAATAGAATATGCCAATTATTTGTTCCGTGCTGGAGCGCGGGGACTGGAGCGAGCTTCCAAGGCATTCATTTGACACCATGAAACTGCTTCAAATCAGTTGGGAACAAATTCTACAGTCCAAAGAGTGAACCCCTGCACTTCCAATGACGTCACTTTTTCATTGTTGCCAGTAGAGACTTTCAGTTTGAAAAACACGGTGAGGACCAAAATTGTAAATTCAATAACTTCGTGAAAAAAAAATTATTTTGACCTAATATTTGGGATACTATTTTGGCGATGTTGTTTGGCGAGTTTAGCAAAATTTAAAGCAAATCGGGGACCATGAAGAAATCGGCGGAGTACACCTTTAAAGAATGACGGCTGAATAGCCGAATTTATTGGCTCGCCTGGTCTTGAAATTGCGGTAAGGTACAGGAAGAACTTTGACAAGCATTTGAAGGATGTATGCAAACCTTTCTACACCAGCACCATGTTTTTTTTTATTTTTTTATTTTCCACGATGACGGAAAGATTGCACGAGCTGCCAAGCGATCGCCGTCGAAGTATCCACGCATCCAAGCAGGCGCGACTTGCGCGTCCGAGGGAGTCCCTAAAGGCTTCGGCGAAAGCACGAACGACGCCGAGAGCTCCGAGCACTGCATCGTAGCGCAGAACGAGCAGCTCCTACCCACGACCGAGCCTACCTCGGTGTCGTTCCTGGCTAGGCCGGAGCCTTTGGGCCGCGGGGTTCAGTTGGTGCGGTCGCGGTCGGCGAGGTTTGGCGAGGCGAGCGCGGTGGCGGTGGCATCCTCGGAGCGTTCGGAAGCGAACTCGCTCGCCAACACACCCGACGCCTCTGGTCCCGGCGGCCCGGCCCGGAGCCCAAAACGCTTGGGGTTTTGATGTTTCTTCCGTCTCGTGCGAGACCACCGCGTTGACCGCGTGAAACCACCTCGAGTAACCGCGAGACTGGCCGCGAGAGCGGAAACGTCGTCATTACACCGGAAACCAACCTGTTCGAGCTCCCGTGCACCATCTCCGACGACGGAGCTCGCGGAGCGCGCTCCGCCACCGTGCACCGGAAGTGAGACGATGTCGTTTAGTTTAGCTCGAGTGCACTCTGACCGCTGGAGCGCGCTCGAGCGCGTTAACTTAACGCGCCCAGTGCTCGGTGTTCTGACGTCCCCGTGCACTCTCGTTTCCTCCTCTCCCTCGGTTTCTCGGCGCGTTCCTGCTTTTTACATGAACACTTTTTTTTGTGCGATTTGTTGTTTTTTGCGGGAGAAATTTGGCCGACGTTCCGCGAAACATCCCCCACACCCAGGGGCCGCTGCCAGAAGTCCTTTCGTGGAACAGGCTTGTGGCAGCTGCCGGATGTTTGTTCGTTGGTTGTGAGCGTGCTTCCCTCGCTTCCGGAAGTCGCATCAGCTCACGCCGCTTGATTTATGTTTATATCCCGTGTTGCGTTACCTTTTGCAAACTGTGGAATGACGTGTGGAAGAAAGCACTGTTTACAAACAAGTCTACGTTTGCCCACACCAGGTGCGGACGCTTTTCTTTTTGTCTGATCAATTAAAGATAATCCTGGTGATATCCCACACTGCCTGGTGATAGTTAGGGGAGAAAAGTGGCTTAGAAGGGGGTGAGGAATTGGGTTGTGTGTACGTTTATACAGCCTAGGACTTGGTGTGCCTCAACAGGCGATGAGTCACTCGCTGTAGATGGGAAATTTAACCAGTCCGGTACAACCGCTGGCCTGGGTTCTATAACGTGCACCAAGCAGTAGTGATACACGACCGCACGCTGGTACGATGCTCATCCAGATCGAAACGGGCAGGCGTGGGGATTGACCCCAGGGTCCCTGGGTCTGGCGCGAGCTTTCGCTGCACGTGCTCCGAGCTGGTGTGCTCTAGTCATATGTTTGTATTTTTAGACTTAGGCTAGGTGGCGCAAGCTACCGCCCGTTACAAAGGGTATAGTTATTAACATCCATCCATCTATGCTAGATTCGCGTGATGTGCTGCGGTTGCGTGACGCCGAGGGCCGCTGGTTGGTGCATAAAAAAGCTCAACGGAATCTTTTTTTCATATTTCAGTTGCGAAAAAAAGGGGTAAAGCTATACACACTCCGTAGTGCACTTCGGCCGGAAATGGCTATACGCACTACGCGAAACTCGTATACACGTTTGCAAGGAAGGCTCCTGTGCGCTGCCATTTTGAGCGATGCTGGCGCCCCGTACCGTTTCCGCCATGCTGGGGTGCGCCAGGGGCATGTCATTGGGGTGCGCGATGACAAGATGGTGCCGTTTGCTGCATCGCCGATGGATTACGTTAGCGGCACACTTACTCTCTCGGAACGCAGGAGGAGGTATCCACACAGAATCGTAGCGTCACATATTGTAGGACGGCACATCTTTAAGGCTTGGAGCTGACTTTATAACGATCGCAGCCTCTGTTCCTGCATGTTGTGGAAGCCAGAGCTGCCGCGAGCGCAGCCATCGTTGATGCAAAGGCCATGCGACTTGTGGCGCATTCTGCAGAGCGCCTTGAGTCTTTAGATATTTTTGAAATTTTTCGATTTGTCCTGGCTGGAGAGTAGGTCCGCCTCACGTTGGCGCGCGGTTCGAGGTTAAGCAGGGATCCCTTTTGCAAAGGTGTATAAAACGAATGGTTACAACGCGTTTTCTAAGTGGTGGCATAGCATAGTGGTGAGGTGTCTGCCAAAGTTACTGGAGCAAGCTCAGTTTCGCAGCTCCCTATTCTCGCCTGCAGAAGCGAGTGGCCCAGGTGGCGGTCACGAGTACGAGCGGCGCTGCAGTCGGATCTTACTTCCCTGTCTCGCGCGTCGTCTACCACCACTGCGTTGAGAGCTTCCTTTCTTTTTCTTCTTCCTTTTTTTATTAACAATGTGTATAATAGTAAGAAAGATGATGAACATGAAGTGTAATACACCACATAAATCAGAGTCAGCGCATTGTGAGTGTTCTTTCTTTGAGTGTTTGAAATTTATTTTTGTGTGCGTCGGTTTCCTTGCTCTGTGAAGTGCTAGTATGAATCACACTCTCGCCCAAGCTCAAGTGTTGCTATTCAAACTTGGCCGGCTAGACAATCCGGAAGTAAGACTCGACTGCAGCGCTGCTAATTCTCGTGACTGCCACTAAGCCCACGTCGCGGGCGGAGCTGTGAAACTGAGCTTGCTCCAGTAACTTTGATGTCTGCTTCATACGGAAGTGGACGCGGGTTCGATCCGCGGTGGGCCTACTCTTCTTCTTTCTTTTTGAACATATCGTTTTGTCGAGGCATTTGGCGATATTTACATGTCTTTTCTACGATGAACACTAAAAAAAGAATTAAAGAAAAGAAACGAACGTTGTCGAGAAAATTTCGCAGAACTAAATGGTATGGGACTCCCTTTCCGGAGGTGCAATCGGGGACAGCGGGGCTTGGGTTGCCGGCTGGACGCCGCGAAGCGGCGTGTACGGGTGAAGTTTTGTAATTAGCTGCCGCACACTGTCGCCGCGAAGCGGCGTGAACGCAGGCGGGGGTGGGGGGTGTTCCTTAGTGCTCCCCAGTGATACACCTGCCGTTCGAAAAGGGTGACCCAAATGGCATGAGCTCACCGCGTAGTGCGTACAGCCATTTCCGGCCGAAGTTCACTAAGTAGTGGGTATAGCTTTACTAAAAAAAAAAACAAAAAAAACGAATGAATTAAATGAGTTTGTTTCTTTTTTTTTTTCAGATTCACATTTTTTACGTTACTGTTAAATAAACCTAGCGATATATTCCTTCAAATTTTGTTTCGATGACCGGAATACAGTAAAACATTATAATTTAAAATTTATTTATTTAAAAAAAACAGTGCGTTTATTTTTTTTATTTCTCTTGTGTACTTTTTTGATATTCACAAACATGAACTTTTAGAAAATTCCACAATTCACCGAATCACCACATGTGCCGTGACAGCTACGTGACTTTGTAATTTCGTCATATACGTAGAATGGAGGCCAACAGCTGATGCTCCTCTGTCAAGGAGCTATGAATCGATTTTAACCAAGCATCCGCTTTTTTTTTTTTGGGGGGGGGGGGGGGGGAGGTTCTAAAGTAAAATGCAGCATCACGGGGGAACAACCGTTTCTTAAAGTGCGATCTCTTCCCCTAATTTTTGCGAGCAATACCGTTGGGAATTTATTTTTTTCGAAAACTCAAAGGAGACGGATATTTTGTTCACTGGGGACTTTGTGGCAGACAAAGTATTTTTTAAATACCTTTTACTCCAGTACAATGTAATATCCAATATAGACGTTCGCCAATGTAACTAATCGCACGCAAAGAAAAAAAAAAAGAACACGCGAAATGAAGAATTGTATTTTCAGGCTGATGAACGTGCTGATGATGTACGTGCCGGGCCAGGACGACGGCAGCCGCATGCTGCGCCGCACGCTGATGCGCTACCTCAACCTCAGCCTGATTCTGGTGCTGCGCTCCATCAGCAAGGCCGTCAAGCGCCGCTTCCCGACCAAGGACCACCTCATCGAGGCCGGTGAGTGACCCCGGCAATACCACCATAGAACGCAAGGCTGAGGCGTGGTGTCACACCAAGCCGGACGCTGTAACACGAGGCGACCCCAAGACGTTCCCGTCTGCCGTTTTGCGGCAAGCTCTCGTTGATCTTCAGCGTGTTTGCCGCTTGGGGCGGGTCGGTCGGGGATCCACTACCGGTGACGTCACTGGCAGGCCTTGTCTTTTAGGTGGTAAGCCTTTTCTTTTAGGTGGCTAAGCCTGTTCGGTATACAAAGAAAAACTGCGGGAGAGGAGGAAACGAGAGCGCGTGAGGACGTCGGAGCACCGAGCTCTGATTGGAAAGATTAGCGGATAGAGGCAAAGGCTGACTGCTTTTGTCTTTGTACACGCTGTCTCCCTCCAATGAGAGTGAACGAAAGTGTCGTCTGATCCCTCGCGCAGGCTCTGGCGTTCGAAAGGGCGAACGCCGGATCGCGCGAAGAGCAGACGACGCTCTAGTTTGGGACTTTTGAGTTTTTCTTATCAATTTAGGTATCACTATTGTCCAAGTACAACGTTTCCGAAATTTCGTCTTAAAGCAGTTTTGAAATTAGGCTCTCTGAAAAAGGGGAATCTCTTTTTTTTTTGTGCAATATTTGGCGATGAAGGTTAGTCTGATTACAAAATCGAACAAAGGTTCTTAAGGTGCAGATTTTCCACAATATGAAAATTGAAACCCAATACTATATTGAGTAGTAACATTTTCCCGCAGTGGAAATAATGCCCCGTCATTGAAAACCTTTCAAAGAGGCTTGTAAAAGCTGAAACAACAGTGAGTGCGCAGGCGAGCTGGTGGATGTTGATCAAAATGTAGAATATCCGAGACTGTGGTAAAAGCTGGAAAACTATGTCGAAAAAAAAAATGAGAGGGAAAAGAACGGCTCTAACTCAGCTACTGCGTTTATTTCCTGAAAGCCTTTTATACAACCTAATCACCGACCACCAACGTCAGAAAGTCAACCTTTGTTATACAATCCTACCCACACTGGTCTTCACCTGAACCGTAAACGATGACCTCAGTCCCAAATCGAAAACTTGGGGACCTCGAACAAAACAATCACAGCGATCTACGTTCCTTCCAGCCGGAGTCTGACAGGGCTGTGCTTATCTAAACGAGAACTGATATGTCCTCCAACAGAATTCCTGCCCCCAAAATGACTGATTGCACGTTCACTTAAAAATGAAAAAAAAAAAAAAAAAGACAAGAACAATACATGTTAAGATATTTCTTGGAACTACTTCCGAGTTGCATCGAAGCATGACTGATACAGTTACCGATACATTTGATACGAACTGTTTCTCTTACGAGCCTCTTAATGTTGTTATACTCTCTGTGCACATTGTCAGTCTGCGACCGAAGTGCCGTACAGTCATTGCACTCACTATTGTGTTTAACAATCTCTGATGGCTAAACTCATTAGTGAGTGCGTGTAAACGTGATTGTAAACTCAAAAGTGCGTGTAAACGCTGCAAGGTTTGAAAGTTGGAAACCATCATAACAATGAGTTTGTTTGCTTTTAGCGCTTTCATCTAGTAGGTAAAAAATTGATTTTGACAAGGCGCTTTTTAACTGTTGAATTCTTTCAAGAGTTATAGATGACTTCCAAAAACTTTCAAAGTGAAATTGGTGCCCGTTCCCGATATCTGACGCCATTCACCTCCATGTATACGCGGAATTTGTAAGGTTGTCATTATTTAAATCTGAAATTTCGGCATCGGATTTCAAATTGGGCGTTTGGAGTGCGATTACTATACTTCGTTTCAGCTTCGGTCCGAGCGCGGCCGATGTTATGAGCCGAAGGGCCAATCAAACAGCGAAAGAGGCACAACGTCATGCCGTGCTCTCTGTAGTTGATAGGACCAGCCAATATTCGCCTTCTCTATGTGCGCGCTCCTCCGCCGGCTAGTCTTATCAAGCACAGAAAGCACACCATGACGCTGCGCTTTTTGCGCTGTTTGATTGGCCCTTCGGCTCATAACATCGGTCGCGCTCGGACCGAAGCTGAAACGAAGTATAGACAAACTACTTCCTTACGTCTACTTGCCTGCAGAGCCCAAGTACATACAGCCAATCATCACAACCCGTATAAAAAAATAAAATAAAAAAAGAACTTGTATCGAATAACGATATCAAGGAAACGATCTCCCATTAGAATGCTATGTGCGCAGATATAGCTTTTGTGTGAGGACGCTATCTCTGACCCATAAGTCGCTGGCATATCTTTTGTCGACAACTGTGATTGACTTTCCGCGTACTCCGCGGAAAAGTTGACCCGCAAGCTTCGTTCATAAACAGTGTGTCGATTACTCGTGTAAATACGGTAGCTTATTCTTGAGAAGAAAAAAACAAAGTCAGTTTTCGTTTTAACCAAACAGCCAGTACAATGTCAGTATCCACAACAACGTGTTGGTCCCAGATAAACTGGGGCTGTCATAAAGTTAATCCCGAACTGCGGACCTAACAATACGTTTACATCCTTTTTCTTTGAAGTCTCTCCTGTGTCGGGGCGCGTTATGCCGACGTTATAGTGTATTCACATGGCGTTTTGCCACGGCAGGGTTCATGACCAAGCTGGAGGTGGAGCTGTGGCAGTCCATCCCGTCCACGGAGTTCAACACCTTCTGGGTGCCGTGCACCTGGTTCATCAACCTGCTGCGGGAGGCCAGGAACGAGTGCCGCATCACCGACGCCCAGGGGGTCAAGCTCATCCTAGAGGTAGAACGCCAAGCGCACCAGTCGTATCCAAACTTACCATAGTCAGTCACTGACAGGATGAGTGTGACAGTGAGGAGCTACAGTTGTCCTGCCTTCAGCCCGAGCTTCCCACCTTCGAGAACGCATCGGCGTTCCCCCGCAAGGGGCACCTGTGAAAGCAGGTGTTTGGAGAGTGGCGTCTCCACGGACCCCGAGCCATGCGGGTTCGCCCGCCCACGTCTGGCTGTGCGTGGCTTTCCCGTGTCCGGGGAAAAGGGCATCCTGGTGGTTGAGCCGAGCCCGGGGTAGGTTTGGACCCTTCGGGGCCCCCCGGGCGAGGCAATACATCACTTCGGCCCCCGCTTCCCGTAGACGGGTGTCCTGGCTTGGCCCGACCAGGATGATTCAGTCAGTCGCCTTTTCTTCTACTATCCCCTCCCTTCTTTCTTTTTTCTCTGCTCTTCTCTTTTTCATTCTCACCTTCTTTGGCGGCAAGGGCTAACCTTGGGTGGAGACAGATACCTTTCTCGAACCACACTTGGTTATAGTTACTTGGTAGCACTGGTAGTGTAGCATACCCAGCCAAGCCATACTTGCTATGGGGTGCTACCTATCCCCTTGTTGGGCTCGGTGGTGGGTGGTGCGCCACAGTTTCTGAACATCCTCCGCCTTTCATGGCTTCCGCAAACCCTAAACCCGGTTCGGGACGAACCTCTAAGAGGCAGCGTCCAGAACCACAGACCATAGAAAAAGAAACTGTCGAAACATTTTCAAAGTTTTTTGTTATTCACTCACATGACGAGCAAAAACCTGTAGCAAAGATGTCACCTTTTATTGTCGCCAAAGTGCTAGAAAACCTTGTTGGATTTTCTTACAAGGCCAAGAAACTGCACTCGGAAGACCTTCTTGTTGAAGTGAACACTAAAAAGCAAAGCGAAGCGCTTCTCAGACTGACCAACATTGTGGACGTGGAGGTGTCGGTGAGCCCTCACCGTACACTAAACACGGTCCGTGGTGTCCTGTCTGAAGAAGCCTTTCTTTACACCAGTGAAGATGAACTCCTTGAGGGACTGAAAAGTTCAGGTGTCGTTGATGTCAGACGTATAGTGTTCCGCAAGAATGGTGAAAATATCCCTTCAAAACATGTTATTCTCACTTTTGAAAGACGGGCACTCCCAGAGACGGTCAAAGCCGGTTACCTCAACTGTCGCATCCGCCCATACATCCCCAACCCCCAGCGGTGTTTCCGTTGCCAGCGCTTTGGCCACGGATCACGCAGCTGTCGTGGGAAGGAGACATGTGCCAAATGTGGAAATGAGGGTCACGTGTCTGATGGTTGCGAGGCAGAGGCACACTGCGCAAATTGCAGAGGACCACATCCTGCCTACTACCGAAGCTGCCCCCTCTGGAAGCAAGAGAAGGACATCCTCGCAGTTAAGGTTAAAGAAAACCTGTCGTACGCAGATGCAAAAAAGCGCTTTTCCTTCCTTTCTAAGGGAGGTTATGCCGAGGTGGTGCGCAGGGGCCCTGCACCACGCTCGGAGACAAAGGCCACTCAGGTCTCTCCTGAGATCTTGGTTGCCGACCTAAAGGCCCCATCCCCACAACAGAGGCAGCATGCTGCTCCCCTGGGCAAGGCCGGGCCGGCGATAGCCGTGCCCGCCCTCCCTTTCAAGACGGTGGCAAGGGGTCAGCGGGCTCACTCTTCTCGCGGAGAGGGCGCTCCAGCTGACTCCTCTGCTCAGGACAGGCCAGCACTGGCTGTACCTGTCAACACAGGCCGCACTCCTATGGAGGAGAAAAAGCAAGTTCCTCAGCCTCAGTCTCTGGAGAGACAGCCAGGAACCAAGGAGCTGTGTGGGTCGCATGCAGCTCCCTTGTCGGGAAACGAGGTGGAACAGATGGATGGGGTAGAACCCCTCCCCAGTTCATCAACCACCCTTCCACCCAGTTCTGGTCGTGGCCGCGGATCGGGGCCTCGCGGCACGGACCTTCCCAGGCCGGCAAGCAAGTCTGCCTGCAAGGCTCAGGAAAACACTAGCGCTGCCTTGTCTGCCTCCTCGTCGACTCCGGGTTCTGACCAGGACGAGATGGAGTGGCAGACTACTAAGAAACAAAAATCAAAAAAACCTGTAATTCCTCCGAAGTGAAACAACTGACTCACCTTTCCATCTGCTCCAGTTTTTTGTCCCTAAAATGGCTTCAATACTCGTCCAGTGGAACTGCCGTGGCCTTCTAAGAAACCTGGACGATGTAGAGCATCTTCTGGAGGAGTACAAGCCACGAGCGCTGTGCTTGCAAGAGACTCATTTGAGTCCCAGTCGCTCTAATTTTCTGAGACGTTACCAGGTTTTCCGGAGGGATCGCCCGGGCTCTGGCAATTCTTCTGGTGGAGTTGCGGTGGTCCTCCCGAGAGACGTTCCCTGCACTGAGGTCCCACTGTCCACACCACTTGAAGCAGTGGCAGTTCGGTTCATGCACCATAAAGCTCTGACAGTATGCTCTTTATATTTACCACCTTCTTTCACCTTGAAATGTTCAGATTTTAACTCGCTGTTAGATCAGCTTCCAGAGCCTTTCCTTTTGATGGGCGATTTTAATTGTCACAACCCTTTATGGGGGAGCACACGTCAAGATGTCAGAGGAAAAATTGTTGAGTCAGTTTTAACCACACGAAGTCTCTGTCTTTTTAACACGGTCCAGCCAACCTATTTTAGTCCGTCATCTTTGTCATCAACTTCCATCGACCTTTCAATTGGTTCTGCTATTTTACTTCCAGATTTTTCCTGGAGTGTGGATTCCAATCCACGTGGAAGCGATCATTTTCCTACTCTTTTAACCTGTAGCGTAGCCCCTCCTTTAATTCATACACGCCCGCCTCGTTGGAAGCTTGACAAGGCTAATTGGGGCCTTTTTAAGCAGGCATCGCTTCTAGCATATTCTCGTCTCGAAAGTCTCACAATTGACGAACTCAATCATCTTTTAACCGAGCGCATTATCACAGCCGCCAAGTTGTCCATCCCGCAGACATCTCAATTTCTTCCTAGGAGGCCAAAGCCCTGGTGGAATTCGGAATGTGAAGAGGCACGCAAGAAACAAAATCGGGCCTGGGGTATTCTGAGACGATACCCCACTAGAGATAACCTCATATCCTTTCGGAAAATGAAGGCCCGTGCACGCTACGTCCGAAGAAAAGCCAAGCGGGAAAGTTGGCAAGGCTATGCTTCCACTATAAATAGCAGTACCTCACCTAAGGAGGTCTGGGATCGAATACACAAGATCAATGGTTCCTATCATGCATTTAAAATCCCCCTGCTTTTTAGGAATGGAACATGCCCAGACACACTCGAGGAACAAGCTGATATTTTTGGAGAACATTTTGAATATATATCCAGTTCACATCATTATTCATCTACTTTCCTTCGACACAAGCTGAAGGCTGAGAGCAATCCCTTGAAAACCTCAGGAGGTGAACAGGGAGAATATAATGCTACATTCAGCTTGCACGAGCTTCTCGCAGTTCTTCATAACACAAAGCCCTCAGCTCCTGGACCAGATGGTTTACATTATTCAATGCTGCAGCATCTTCATCCTTCTACACTCGATGTTATTTTATATCTTTATAACCGCATATGGCAGGAGGGCTATTTTCCTTCATCTTGGAAGGTAGCACATGTCCTTCCACTTTTGAAGGCTGGTAAGGATGCTTCTTGTGTTTCCAGTTATAGGCCCATTGCTGTTACCAGCTGTCTCTGTAAGACACTAGAACGAATGATTAATCGTAGACTAATGTACTATTTGGAGCATGGTAAGGTACTCGACAAATTTCAGTGCGGCTATCGTTCATCAAGGTCTACAGTCGACCACTTGGTCCGTCTCGAAACTGTTGTGCGTGAGGCCTTTGCGCACGGGCAGCACTGCCTCTCCGTGTTCTTCGATCTCGAGAAAGCGTACGACACGGCTTGGCGCTTTGGCATTTTGAGGGACCTGTCTGACCTCGGACTACGTGGTCGCATGCTTCGTGCAATTCAGAGCTATCTAGACAGGCGCACCTTTCGAGTTCAGCTGGGAAACACACTCTCCCGTGAATTTCTGCAGGAAAATGGAGTGCCGCAGGGGGGAGTGCTAAGTTTCACCTTGTTTATAGTTAAAATGAACTCCATTGCTTCAGTAATCCCTCCGTCGGTGCAGTACTCTCTTTATGTCGATGATTTACAAATTTCAGTTTCCTCCTGTAACCTCTCAGTCTGTGAACGCAGGGTTCAGCTAGGCATCAACAAGCTTACTAAGTGGGCTGACAGTAATGGGTTCAAGTTCTCTCCTGAGAAGACTGCATGTGTTTGCTTCAGCCGCAAACGTGGAATTCTTCTTGAACCCTCCCTAACAATCTACAATAGTAATGTTAGTGTTCAACCTCAGCACAAATTTTTGGGTCTTACGTTTGATAGTAAACTGAATTTTATTGCTCATGTAAAAAGCCTGAAATTGAGAGCTCACAAATCTCTCAATATCCTTAAAGTTCTCTCGCACCGGTCTTGGGGCTCAGATCGATTGTGCCTCCTGCGGATCTATCGCTGTTTGGTACGCTCCCGACTAGACTATGGCTGCTTTGTTTATGGGTCTGCCAGACAGTCTGTGCTCAAGATGTTGGATCCCATTCATCATCTTGGGCTTCGGTTGGCTACAGGTGCGTTTCGTACATCCCCTGTGCCCAGTCTATATGCAGAGGCTAACGAGTGCTGCCTCGAGAGACGTAGATTCGCATTGGGCATGATGTACTCTCTTCGCATCCGATCTGTGCTCCAGCACCCTACTCGAGAAGTTGTTCAAGAAACACGCTCGGAACGACTGTTTCTTGCAAAACCTAGCGTGATCCCTCCGTTCAGTATGCGACTGAAGACCTTGGCCGAGTCTGGCGGATTTGATGTGGCATCCCAGGTAGTAGAATTTCCTGGCATCATAGCACCTTGGGAGCACCCTGACATACACTGCAACCTGTCTCTTGCACAGTATAACAAGAA